GTACCTAGCATATCATAATTTAATCATTTAATAAATATTAATAGACTATCATGATAGGTTAATATTATGTCATAATGGATTCTATGCATCAAACTATGTTCTGTAGGAAAACAGTGATCCATAATACATTTTCTTATTATAACACAAAAAGTTTATAATTTGTATATGTCCCCTTGAGGGACCTCTCCAGGATTCTACCCAATAAAGACACTCGGCATAAGATTTCATATTAATACTGAAGAAACAGGAGCTTCTTTTTATCATGAAGTACCTATTCAGTGAACAATACTTCTTTGATCAACTTTTCCTAACTTCACTTTCTTCTAAGCCCTTGAAAGCACATTATTATTCATTTCTTGGAACCTCTGTCTAGAAGAGCTTTGCTTGACACTGTTATAGGCAAATAAGCAGAGAGCTAAGAAATTGTAGGTAGGGAATCATTATAAAAAATGCACTTGGGCATATAAGATGTCTGGGAGGCGATGACCAGAAGTGGCTTTTTTTTTTTTTTTAGATTCCACATATGAGTAATATCATATGGGTATTTTCCTTTCTCTTTCTGGCTTGCTTCACTTAGAATGACAATCTCCAGGTCCATCCATGTTGCTTCACATCAGTTCTGTTCCTTACTAACTTCATTGTACATTTTAAATCTGTCATTGTTTGCTTTGGTCTGGTTTGGGTTTTTGTGTGTTTTAGTCTCTCCTCAATTGTTCCTTATTTTATCTATCACTTTCTTTTCATTCCATCTTTGCTTTATCTTAGAAGTAATGTCATCTTGGACTTAAACCCAGATGACAATCCTGTGCCCTACTGGGGTCACCCTGTTCTTAACCACACAACAGAAAGTCCAGAATCTCCATTCTCTGTGCTAGGAAATCTAGCATCCCACCTAACTCCAAGAATTCTTAAAGTGGCTGTATTTCTCCTATTTACTGTGATTTCAAGTTCCTGTTTCTCATTTGGCACTTCTCTCTTGCACGTTCTATCCCTTTTCTAGGATGTGGTACCTTACATCCCTCACCATCCCATTCCTGTCCCCACAAACTGCAATCCGGTCACAGGGTTGATGTAGCAGATTGTCACTGGAGGTTGCAGGTACAGAGCACAGTAAAGAACTTAAAATCAGCTATTGCACATCCCTGCTCTTAGCAATTCCTCGGTCATTCCTGCCCTGGGAACTGGTCATGTCTTCCAGAAGAGCCCAGCCTACTGCCTGGGTGCCGGTGTTGTTTGCGTTACTTTCTCATCCTATCGTCTCTCCCCCCATTTCCTGCTCACCACCCAACTCCCCTTCCCAATCACTGTTACTTTTCTTACCTTACTTTGCTCCCTCTCTGGTTCATTGGACCTCATCTTTCAAACAAACACAAATATCGAGAGATTTTGCTAAACAGAAACTGTTCTTTCCATTAGAGGAAACCTGGCACTGATTTTTGTATATTTATATTCTTTGAAGGAAGCTGAATCTTTTCTCTGCATTTTCTTCTATTAGGCTGAACCTTAGGCAATCACTGAGAGTCAACTGTTCTCTACTTCCAAAAGTGTTTGTTTCAAAGGCTTCAACATAAATACCTGGTCATGGAGGACCTTTCAGAGGCGGGCTGTTACCCTGGGGCTTTCAGAGACCATTCTCTTTCTCTGGTTCCAAGATTATTTTTTTTCATAGGCCTCATGAAGCTGGTGTTTTCACCTTATTCATCCCTGAGCAACGCAGGATTTACAGCAACCTAGGAATGACACTATTAAGGTAGGTCCAACTCTTAGTACCTCAGGATGGTGGTAGAATCCACTTTCACATCTACAGCTGAAAACACAGTGATGTGCACAGCTCCGTCCACCTCCCAATCTCCAGTATTCTTTCATTTAGGGATATGGCTGGAGCCCCGGGTCCAATTGCTTATTACCTGTCACTCTGAGCTGATGCAGCCTATGGAAAACTGTAATTCCTAGTTTGCTCCACTCCCAGGGGTGATTCTCTCTGCCCTGTCACACTCCTAAGCCACCATCCCCAGAATGCACTGGGCCCCGACCAGTTCCCCCACAGCCTGCCCACTTGTTCACTGGGTTTGCTGTATTTGCCCAACCAGCTGGGAAGAACAGGTAGGAGGGTGGAGTGACACCTGGTCAGTTCTTGGATAGTGCAGATCTGGAGTCAGGGAAGAGAGTCCAGATGGGAGATGCATCTTTCTAGCTGTCCTTGGGTCATCTCTTTGGGTTTTTGTATGTTTGGGTGTTTCTTTTTTTTCAGTAGGGGGGTAGGATTGGGTTTATTTATTTATTTTAGAAATGGAGGTCTGGGGATTGAACCCAGGACCTCATGCATGCTAAGCACACACTCTACCACTGAGCCATATCTACCTATCCCTCAGGTCCTCTTTATGATGAAGCAAATTCTGGGATCATGAGGTTAAGGTCCAGGAAGATTTTCTCAGTTTCCCTCTGTTGGCTTTAAAATTTTCATCCATTCTCTCTTCTTCTATTTTAGCATCAGGCTTTATGTCAGTCTTAGTGTTTGATCCTGTTAAAAACTTTCATCTATGTCTGCACCTTACTGACACTTAACAAAAGAGTTGAGAATAACTGCATTCAAATGCCACTTGGAAGAAAATTCTGGACTATTTATGACAAATGCATTTACTTATCTATTTGCTTATTTATTTATTATTTGCTTACTTATGAGACATTTACATAGCACTTACTATGCACCAAAGATTGTTCTAAATACTTTACAGATATTTCCTCATTTAAGATTCCCAACCATCCCATGCTGCATGCTTCCAATCCTTTTCCTCTGCACACAGAAAAATCTGGGGTCAAACCAAATAAATAATTTTGCATTTTGTTTTTATCAGATTCATATTGTGACCATGTTCCCCATTTAAAAAAATATTTTTCAAACATGATTTTACTGGTACCCATCAAATTTGCACAATTTATTTTGAAGAATATTCTTCTCTGAAAATCTCTGCATTCTTATTTTTTCATAGATTCAGTGTTTACAAAAGAAATTGCTGGGTCAAATGGATAAACTTGGGACATCTCTCTTTAGAAGTTGATGAAAATATCAGTTTCATGACACTTTCCCCAGCCCTCAACTTATTAATAGAATGCAGGAAAGGGAACTTCCTGCTTGTGGGAATGAGGGGTGTGTGTGTGTGTGTGTGTGTGTGTGTGTGTGTATGTGTGTGTGTGTAAAGAAAGAAATATAGGGAGGTATCAAAAGGACATATATGTTTTTAATAAGAAGTCCAGAGATGACACAGGTTGCTATAGCAACTGATATACGCTGTCAGGGGTTAAGTAAGAGATAGAAAAATTGTAGTTGATAAATAATATTTTAAGAACTTGTGCAGTTAAACATCAGAAATTGTGAAAAACAGTTACCAGCAAAACTTGGTACCAGTATCTCTTTTACACAAGGAAACAGAGAAATATACAACCCTATATTAAAATCAGTGGCGGGATTCTTTCCATTACTCATTCTCTCTCCATTTGTTCAACAAATACTTTCTGGTGCCTGCTATTTACTAGAATGATGAAAATGAAGAAAAGAACGAGATAAAGTCCTTGAGCTCAACAGAAAGTAGGGAATACGAAGGTACAAATAAATAATTACACAAGAAGATAAGTGCCATTCCAGAGGGATCCACAGACCCATAAAGTAGGACATGACTAGCTCTGCCTAGGGAGTCACAGCAGGCTTGACCCCAGAGATAAGCATTAGAGCTGAGTACTGAAGCATGAATAGGAGTTTTCCACGCAGAGAAGGGAAGGAAGGACTTTCCAGGGAGAACAAAGAGCTTGGACATTGTCCCGTAAATTAGAGAACACCAATTTCTGTGTCTTGCATGGGTTACAGGGGTTGCAGGAATCTACCAAAATACCAATTTACTCTACCCACAGGGTGGCCAGGTAATACCTGGGCAGCTGGCAGCCCTGGTTAGTTCCCTCCAGCCTTGCTCAGTCTCATCCCCCTTATTCCCACATGCTATAGACATGGAATTTTCTTTGTGTGCTGTGATGCAAAAAAAATTAGGAAGCACTGCCTCAGGTTGCTGAGATACGGCAGAGGTTTGTAAGGCAGGGAGTAATAACGAGATCACACTGGAATTTTTAACAGCCCTGATAGTGTGAGGGCAGCCAGAGTGGAGAGAGACTGACTGTCAGGAAGGAGAAGTAGGAGGCTGCACAGATTATACATCAGATACATTCGTATCTCACCAGGCAGGGCCCCTCCCCTAGTAGTATCATACCCCTGCCCAGGGATGTAAGCCTTGGTCATGTGACTTCCTTTGGCCAATGGGATTTGAGTGGACAGGCCCTGTGCCCCTCCCTTGCCAGCGGGAGCTCTGAGCACATCAAAGGTTCACTACTACACTTTCTCCTCTGTGAGAGGCCAGCACATCCCAATGGAGCCAGTCTGGAGTGAAGAGGATGTGAGCAGGGCTGTGGTTGACACTCAAAGGCCACTTAGATGAGTAAAAAATAGATGTGTTGCTATAAACCACTGAGATTTGAGAGTTATTTGTTACAACTCATTCTGACTGATACAAAGGCTAACAGGCCAGCTGAGCTAGAGAACATGAGTGTCTGAACCTACAACGAGTCCTCTCAGAGTCAGTAAATCAATCAGTAGGGCTTCTTAAATGAGTAAGTCACAAGAGAAATATGCTGTATTCCAAAGGCTCCCAACCAGGGGTATGAGGATCTCTAGGGGTCTTTCCAAGGAAGACATGTCCGGCCAGAGCTAGACGGAGCAGATGCATAGATGCTCCTCCAAACCTCTATTCTGCAAATATCTGCTCCACATTTATTTAGTCTAAACAGGAAGAAGCTGATTTCCTAGAAAAGCTTGTTTCCCATTATCTTAAATCAGCACATGAACCACAAGCTGAAATCTGAGTAATTCGTCTTTGCAACAGTGTGAGGCAATCAGAAGTGTGACAATCAGAAAGGATGTGCTGGTGCTCGACCCCCACCCTCAAAGGGTGGCTTACCTTTTGGGTAAGGTCACTGGCTTCATTGATGTACCGGTCTCGCTCCTTTTCCAGTTGAAAGATGATCTTTCTCTGCTTCTGTGCTTCGTCTTTGTAGTTCTGGATTTCTTCCTCCAGGTTCCTCTTGGCTTGTTCATGGAGCTTTACCAGGTCTATCTGTTTCTGGGTATTACTGACTGCCTTAAGCATATTCTAAAAAACAGGACAATAGAGCAGCCCCATTACTCAAAACATTTGGGGTTTTGCATTTAAATTTACTCCCTGCCTTAATCCTAAAACAATTAGATGCATTATTTGGTGGGGGTGAATAAAAATAATCACATTTCTACAGCTTATTAAGAGCTCGTTATGTTAATTTTGCACAGGGCGCTATAAACACACATATAAATGCACAAAGAGACAACATCATAGGAAGTGGGCACTGTATTGCTCCCATATTAGGGGTAGGAAACTGAGAATGAGAAATTAAGCTACTTGCCTACAAGTTCATACAAGAGCAGAATGACAGAACTAAGATTTGAATCCAGGGCTAACTGACCCTGAAGTCAACCTCCAAATCAGCTCTAGCCACTTTCCTATGACGTTAGAACAAATAAACCCCATTGTGAAACAGTCTTTGACTACAAAGTAAAATAAACCCAGCTAATTAAAAATACAGATACCTATAATGTACCTATGATCCAACAATATCACTCCTGGGTGTCTACTCAGAAGAACTGAAAGCAGGTGTTCAAACAAAAACTTGTGCATGAATGTTCAGAGTAGCACTATTCACAAAAGGTGAAAATAGCCCAAATGTTCATCAACTGATGAATAAATAAACGAAATGTGCTAAAGCCATACAGTGGAATATTATTCAGCCATAAAAATGAATGAAGTACTGATACATGGTACAACATGATTAAAGCTTCAGAACATTATCTGAGTGAAAGATGCCAGATATAAAGTCATATAGTGTATGATTTCAATTATATAAACATCCAGAATGGTCAGATCCACAGAAACAGAAAGCAGATTAGTAGTGGTCAAGGGTGGGAGGAGGAGGCAGTGGGAAGTGACTGCCTGATGAATACAAGGTTTCCTTTTGAGGTGATGAAAATGTTCTGGAACTAGATAATCGTGATGTTTGCACAACACTGACCATACTAAATGTCACTAATGTTAAACTGTTTTATGTGTATTTTACCACTTTAGAAAAAGAATTAACCCAGTTTTTTTAAAAAACACAGATGCTCATGTCCCAACTCCAGAGATTTCTGATTCAGTGGATCTGGGATGGAACCCAGGCACATAGGTTTTTTTTTAAAAAGCTGCACTGATGATTTCTGATACTGAAATGGAAATGCCTTGGGTTGGCTGCCCAAGAAGCCAGGTTGTTCCCCTGAAACACAGAATTAATAGGGTGCAGTTCTGGCAGCCGTGCTCATGCTACAGGGTCTGCTTCTCCAGCCACAGCTGAATGGAGCCAGTGGCTTTAGAAATAGGGCCTCTGGATTTTTTTTACTTGGTAGAAGATGTAAAGTTGGGAGCTGTTGGTGACAGCTTTTTTCTGCCATATGGACTGGGAAACCGAGTGAGACAATCTTCACTGCAAGGAAGAAATGAGGCAACAACTCAGCTGGAAGTCTAGTGGTGGAGAGAGAGGGCTTTCTGTGCATCCCAAGAATGTGAGGTCAGGTTCCTATCCATTCCTGAGGCCCGGCTGTATCCTTGGGCTGGTTCCATGAGGCACCTCATAATCCCTTCCCAAATCTCTCACCAATCAGACCTGCAGCCAGGTCTGAAAACCAGTGGAATATAAACAGGTTAAAAAAAATGGACATTAAACTTGGTTGGGTAACGATGTAGAAAATGGAAAAGGTCAAGTTTACTTTCAAGTATTGAATTAAACATTTGCTCTGTGAAAGATAAAGCCATTTCAACATGACACTAAAAGAACCAAAATATATTAACATTGCTTCCTGCAAAACTATGTCACTCATTCGTACAATGAAGGTGGCCTTTCAAGTCAGTGGGGAAAGAATGTACTATCAACAAAGACTGGTTGCACACCTGCAGAGGGGTGGGGGCTGTGCTAGCCCCTAAGGATGCAATGGCCAGGAAAGAAAAAATAAAAGTATATCCTGCCCTAAAAGAAGGTGTTGATGTAGTCAAATGAAACAAATAAATATAATTAATGTGCTAGGTGTCCTATTATGGCACAAAACCTACTGGTTATTTACCAGGATATATAAAATATAAATGGGTGAAATGTTGTATGTGTTAAAAATAAATTTAAAGATCTAAATCCAACAATATTATGTACATGTACAAATTTATAAAATAAAGGAAGAGTTTCCAGGATTACACAAAAAAAAAAAAAAGAAAGAAAAATCAATGACTTTCTTAAGGAGTGCTCAGCATGTAAAGATAGCTCATCTTCTATTTCCTGAGAGTCCCTAAATAGTCTACTTTAAACTACAGGGTAATCTACTTTGTTAATATTTGTTCAATTCTGGGAAACCTAAAGACATAATAAAAATTTGCAATGAACAAATTTGGGCCGCCTCCACTTTGACGAGATGAAGCTGTCTTGGCAGAAAGCCATCAGGCTGTCTGTGATGGAAGCAGCCTCCCTGTTCAACACCCGGCCCATCGCTTTTTCCTCCCTGGAGGAAATCCTTGAGTGGGAATGTTCACCCTAAATCCCTGAAGGTAGCATTGTCTCCCAAGAGTGACTGTCCATGGAAAGAATCCTCTGAAAAGAGCAAGGAGAGGAAAGGGGCGGGGGTGGGGTGGGGGTCCTGTCTTGAATGGAAGATCTCCAGGCCTCAAGCTCCCCTAACCCCTCCCTCAGCTTTGGACCACGTTGAGCTCAAAGGCTAGGAGGAATAAGGTCTGAAAACAGAAACCTACAACACTCCTGAAAAGAGGGAGGGAAGCTTAGAGACTCTTTACATCGCCCAGCAGCCATTCTTTTAACACCTCAAAGTTAAAATGGTATTAGCACTCACTTGTATTGTCTGGATTAGCAAAGGCTGCAGATAATAGATACTAAAATCGGAGATTCTGATCAACTGCTTAGGATGCCAAATAACACGCCAGCAATAAACACAGAAACCGCAAGACACTCTGAAATCCCCCGCGAGGTTGTAGGGTAATTCTCCCAAGTCCCTTTGTGCTCACAGGTGATAATGTGGTTTCAATTCCCAGCCAGTGAACGGTAAAATGTAGACAGCTGCTTAGAGGAAAATTGAGCACTATTATTAATTCTAATCTACTTTTGCTTGCCTCAGAGTCTTCTTTCCCCTGCAACCGGTTATAGGTAGATATTATAGCACTAAAGAAAGACATTTATTTACCAGTGCTACTGTAACAAACTCACCTTATTCAATATGTCCCTTTCTCTCAGAAGCTCATCCATTGCCTTCTTATCAAGTTCTACTTGTTTCTTTGAAGCCTCCACCTCTAAATCACCAGGGAGAAAAACAATAGTAAATAAAGAGAAAAACCTAGGAAAGAATCTGCCAAAGCCAAAGTGCCATAAAAACTGCTTTATATATTTATTTGCAGCTATAAAGCTACTTTTCGTTGAGTGCTACGTGATCTTCATTATAACTCGGTAAGGTACATCTTCCTGCCCCACAGAGCGGATGGAAACGGAGGCTTAGAGAGCCACATGTCAAGGGTCCGCAGCCAAGAGGTGACGGAGCTGAGGCTGGGAGCTTCGTTGCTCTGACTCAAAAAGTCCTTGCTCTTTTAAAATCTTTTTTATTATACAAATCATTAGAAATACAGGAAGAAATGGGAAACAAAAATAAACAAGGGGGAAAAATTTTAAATCAACCAGAACCTACTAGGATTTTGATGTGTCTCTTTCCTTTTCCTATGCAAAAATGTATGTGTATATAAATATGAATATTTATACACCACATACACCCAGAGGGACTCATACTACACATTACTGCTTTGTAGCTTACTTTTATAATTAACAAACATAAAATAAATACCTGCCTATATTGTAAATGTACATCTGCATCAGAATTTTTAATGACTTCACATCTCACTGTATAAAAATGTGTAACTTATTTAGCCAATTCTTGTCTTAACATTTAAGTTGCTTCCTTTTACGTTTTTTGTTTTTGTTTTTGTTTTTGTTTTTTGCAATTATAAGCAATAATCCTGTGAAAGTTTCTGTTCATTTGTTTCTCTAGGAGAGGAAGCCCTGGATCAAAGGTGATTTTCTTTTCAAAGGCATCTCTCTCCTACCACCAAATTTCTTTCCAAAAATTAACAGCAGTTTAAATCCACACCCAAACCACCACTGGTATTATCATTCTCTTTGATCTTTGACAATTTGATAGATTTTTTTTAAACCAGTATGCCTGTATTTAATTTACATTTCTTTAATTAGTAGTGAAGTTGACTACCTTTTCATGTTTAATGATCATTTATTTGTATTTCTGTTTTTCAAATTGCCCACATTGGCCCTTTGCCCATTTTTCTCATGAACTGATTATACTTTTTGTGCATTTATAACAGCACCTTATATATAATAAGAATACTAACTCTTTGGCACTATTTTAGTCAATTTGCCTTCATATGTAGAGTCTTTTGCTGCTTAAAAAAAAAACTTGGTTTAAATTTCATTAAATCTCTCAATCTTCACTTTATTGTTCTACATTTGGTCTTAAATCTTTTTTCCCCCAAAAGTAGCTCATTGTCATGCTACCATTTTCTTAATAATTCAACCTGCATATTGGTAAGAAACAACACCTTTATGGTCATCTTGGGTATTTTTGTGGTCTTTCCAATTTTTTCCCATTGATCTGTTTATTCAGGCATTTTCACTAAAATATTTGATTACTGAAACTTTATAATACACTTAAACAGATGGTAAGCCAAAGGCTCCCTTTCCACTTTTCTTTTCCAGAATTTTATGGCTATTGTCACGTGTTTATTTTTCTGGAGGAACTCTAGAATCAGTTTTCAAGTCTCAAACAATATAACTCACTGAAATTTTTATTGGAAATTTAAATGCATAGATTAATTTGGACAGATTTATATCTTTATCATATTGAGGTTTCTCATCCAGGAACTTGGCGTCTCTCTCCATTTGTCAAGTCTTCCTTTATGCCCCTCAATAGAATTCTGTAGTGTTTTATATATATAGGTCCTACCGATATCTTGGTAACTTTATTCATAAATATTTTATTACCTTAGTTGCTATTGTAAAGGGGGTTTTTCCATCATATATTGTAACTGACTCTTTGTGCAAAAGAAAGCTATTGATATCTATATATTTATTTTATAACCTGCCACTCTGTTGAACTCTTGTTAGTTCTGGCAGTTTCTCACTTCCTTTCTCGGATTTTGTGGTAGGAAATCATAACAAACGGGAGACTCCTGTTCCTGACCATGATGTCCAGTGCCACACTTTGATAGGGCACATCCAAAGGAAATGCTCCCTAAGAAGAAATAATGATGTTAACGATATCTATAAAATAGCCAGATGAGAAAGCACAATGACTTCTGTAAACATGATTTAAGGATGAAGAATTGGGTTCAACACTGAATGGATAATTTTTTTAAAAAGCTTAGAACTATTGCAAGTAAAAATACAGAAATTTTAATATGGGAGTGTTTTTGAAATTCACTAAGCCAGTTACAAAACATGCCCTACTAGTTCTTTTTTTTTTTCATATCTGTCATTGAAGACATTAAATTGTAAACTCATACTAGGCTGTAAGCATCCTGAGGGCAGAAACCTCCATGCACCCAATGCCTAGCATAATGCCTGCACATAGTATGTAATCAAATTATTGAATGAATAAATAAATGGAGAAATTGCCAAGATCAACTGCAACTGTACCTCAGTAAAAGATGATTTCCTGACATCTTAGGATGAAAAATCTCTGCACTTCTCAAAGACTTACAAATATTTCTACTTATCTTATCTAGAGATTAAGTTTTACCTAACTTTCAGGGAGGCAATGTGCATTTGTATTCTTTTATGTATGCTATCTCATCCAGTGATTTACAGCTGGGTTGGTGAGGTGTTCCTGCCGTAGATTTTCTGGTGTAGTCAGAATTCAAATCCTGATCCTCTGTCTCCAAGTCCAGAGCTGTTTCTACCACACCATATTTAACTAGTATACCCTATTTTTAATCATATCCTTTTTCAGAATGAGATAGTATTCTATCTTATCACTTTTATAAATAGTAATGTAACTGGATAATAATAGGTGACATGTAGTAAACACTTACTATGTGCTAGGCACTGTCCCAAGAGCTTTCTGTGTATTAGGTCTTTTTGTCCCCCAAGAACTAAGTGTGATGGAGGTGGGGTATGAACCCAGGCAGATCTGACCCCAGAGTGTGTATCCTTAATGATTTTTCTGTACTATATAGCCTTCTGCAGCACTTAACTTTTCCCTTCACAGGTCAATGTGATAGCTGGGTAAAACAAGAGTTTGCCATATGTAAAGTACTAGCAGAGGAAAGAAGTTAGAAGCCATTTATTTCTGTCTCACTGATTCTGGGCGCACTACTGTCTCAAAGACTGCTGATGGGGAACATTCATGTTAATTTGTCCCGTATCATCTATGAAAAAAGAACACTGAAGAAAAAGTCATGCAGAACCCAGATCTAGAAGCATGGATGTTAGATCCTCCACTGACAAATACTGAGCAATACTCACTAGAACCTCTTGGAGAGTTTTTTAAGGAAAGAAAGTTTAAGATTTTGAAAATGATGTCCCCTCCATATTATCTGCTTACTAGTTTGAATGTAGTTCTCTTGAATTCATTTGGCATGGTTTGCATTTGTATGCACGGAGCCCTGGGTTGCCAAATGACATCAGTCACGAATGAGGTGTTTAAAAACTAATAAAGCAAAGCACAAAATGATCCTTGGTTTACCTCTCTCTAACCCCAAGATCTGATTTTTCAGAGTTTCCTTGTGCTGTTCCACTTCTGCCTTTTGATCTTCAATCTGATGCAACTTCTTATGGATTTGTTCTCTGATTTTGTTGAGCTTCCCAATGTCCAGGCGCATCTGATGGATTTCTTCTTCCTTGGCCTGTAATTAGTGAGAGAAGACTAAGCAGGGACACACATTCTAAATAAAGGGCTGGCGACTAGATGATGGTAAATTCAGAACCAATACAAGGAAATTCTTTCCAGGCCAATTTAAAGTTGTTCTCTGAGATTAAATCAAAACACACACTGTTTGGTTTTGAGTAAACTGGAAAAACTCTAATCTCTGAGTAAAATAAATGGCTATATAAGCTAAAAATGATGAAAAGACTGATTAAGCCTGATGTCTCAAGGTACTATCAAATTGTTTAATCAAATGAGAATGCTGAGTTGCATGTATCATAAACGCATGAAATTTGTGTACAAATGCTGTATCTGATTAGACTCACAGAGTGATCTCTCTCAGAGGTTATTAACATGCTATAAAACTTTGACTCTTTTGGACCCACATGGCCACTGTAGTGCAATTACATACATTAGAAAAGGGGTCCTCCTTCCTCAGACTGTGTCAGTCTGTGACTGTACATATGGACAGATGGACAGGGTAACATTAACAGGCAAGTCTACTTGATGGCAAAACATATCAAAACAATAATTCTAGCAAAGTAAAGCACCAGATTTTTTGTCTATGGACTTCCAAGTTTTATGAATTTTCTTAAATTCAAATTAAATTCATTTTTTTAAATTTGCCATTCTTAGAAATGACTGGAAAGGATTCTTCTGCAAATAAATAAATAAATAAAAGGTAGCAATTATCCCCAGTTCCTGACATTTAGAGACTGCACGTAGCTCAACCTGTTACTCTCACATCACTGCTGGAAGCAGAATCCCACAGGTTCAGGATCTCAGAGCAAAAATTCTCCATCTTTCAAGGTGCCCCATTTGTGTTATCAAAGGAGAGAATTAATGGCATAAGTATTTTTACTTTAATTTCACCTTAGGGGCTAATACATTATTTTGCCTTAAGTAGTCGTTTTATTTCTGCTTCAACTAGGAGCATTCTCATAAAGAATGGTTTTGAGTCAAACTATTCCAGATTCCTTAAATGTTCCTCAGCCTCAGATCCTGCCAGGTCCAAGTTCATTGTCCTAAGGTCCCTTTCAATTGGAATAATAAGATGTTCTAATTCAGTGGTTATTAATCCAGACCTTATGGTTAAAATTCAGAAAAATCCTGTAAACCTCTAAGACTGCATGCAAAACAAAACAAAAGATGTGCAAACAAGCATGTGTGTGCATCTGTGTGTATGTGTATGTGTATGCTGTCACCAGATTCTCAAAAGGGGCTGTGACGCAGAAACTGTTAAGATTCACTACTCGAATCTATGTATTTTCCTGATTGGTCACTAATTTTATACCTAGTATTCTAACATAACCAGAGTAGGGCTTATGAATTTTTCAGAATTGCTGATAATTATAAAGCCACCCTCTTAAGCATGTAGGCATACAAAATGTATCCAACTATAAAACTGTTATCCAAACAATTTGCAAGCCTTCTTCAGTGAGGGCAGGGAGAAGACTAGGAGATCTGTTTTGAAATTCACATTGGACAGAAGCGAAAACCATGATTCTGCAGTCCTGAGAGTAGACATCAAATAGTACCAGTCCATCGCCCACCCCTCCCACTCCATCCTCTCCATACAAGTAGTAAAATATAATCTGACTTCCTTGCCACTCACTCATGTAAATGGTTTCTAACTCTAGGCAGCTGGTTACTTGCAAGGCTAAATTACAGAGATGAATATCTGAGCTTGCTTTGGAAAGCATTTGCATAATCATATGATCAATAATAAGGTTTGCAGTAGTCTAAGAATGGAAGTCATCAAACTGTCTGCTTCTGGGCATAAAGCAATCACTGTAGGCTTACAACCTGCCTCTGATGTATCGAGGCTAATACAGGTCATCCAACCAAGGGCTCCAACAGCCACAGCCAACCCGTATTAATAGGGAATGAAGGAGGGTATGATAGGAGACAGATAAATCACTCGGTGTTTACTTTGAGCTCCAACGCCTTCTGCTGGTTTTCCTGAGATAGCTGCTCACAAACCAAACTGTGCTGTTCGTTCTCTTGCTGAAGTTTAGCATTTCTCATCTGAAACTGCTCCAGCTCCTTTGCAGCTCTCTCATTCAGTATCTGAAAGACGCAAAACGAGCTGGTTAAGGCTTTTGAATCTGACTACAGTAGCTGCATATCCAGGCAGGAGGCCCTGTAGACCTACGGCAAGCACGGCAACCACACTTTTTTTTTGTCTTTGCAGGAATTGTTCTTTCTCCCCCGTGAAAGCACGAATGCACTCAAATATGATGAATGTTAAATGGCTGAGGGAAATGATGCCTTCTAATGAATAACACAGAGAGCATCATTTTTTTTCCCTGGGAGCCTTGGGAAGTCTTGTTCACAGGTGGTGGATAAATATTTTAATGCCTGTTTGCCATTTGGCAGGCTTCGCATACGCAACAATTGCTATAATCATTGCAAATGAGCTAGAGATTCGAACGGCTTTATCAGCCGTGGGGCTCAGAAGCTACATCTTCAGAAGCAAATCCCACATTAACATGCCTACAACATTTTCGTGAACAGAACCATTCACTGACACCAACAGAGACAATTCCCCTTAATCCAGCTTAAGTCAAAACCGTGGAGCAGCAGTGGAATGATTTCTATCTGCCTGATTCCAGTGTCAGTTGGATTTTCCTCTTTTCTACCTTGACTATCCTGAGAAGACATGGTTTTATAAAAGCAGAGGAGTCTGTTTTGGGGATCATTTCAACTGGGAAAATATTGGGGAGATAGAGGGAAATCAAACGGGATAAAAAAAAGAAGATACTTTAGACACTTACTCGAAAGTGTCTTTTTTTTATTCCATTCAAGCAAAAGTTAAACAAAAAAATCCATCCAATTTCCTATCAATAGGAACTAAATAAAATATATCTAGCTGGCTATGCTTAAAAGGAAATTGTGTTTTCCATGAGTCCAGGCTATTGCTAAACAATGCACTATAGTTTTAACATGATGACCAAAAAATCTCTCCAATCTCATGCTCCAAGAAGCCTCATGTTTTTCCCGTGAATACTGCACACTGTATATTATCTATTTGATTTTTGGCTTTATATAAAATTAATAAAGCAACTGACAAAGAAATGTGATGTGTTCTAATATCTAATTTTTTAAGTAGAAAAAATGATGTATGACTTGAAAATACTTTGGAAACTTCCTAAGAGGATATATTTTCAAGAAATGACTCTTTTCAGTTACATGAATTGGTTCTTTAAGAAATTAGAAAAGAACGACTAGCATTTGTGTTACCTTAAATTGCTGTTACAGAGGAAATGTTTAAATAAAAAAAAGGTACCACATTTAAAACACATAAAGACTGAGTGTGGTTTCCCAAACTTGAAAATTAAAAATAAATCATGTTATATTCACAGGCTGGAATGCTTAGAGTAACGAGAGTGAATGAATGGTCTACTGAGCTCTGTCCAATAGAACTTTCTGTAATGATCTCAATGTTCTCTATCTGCACTGTCCAATATGGTGCCTACTAGCCCCATGTAGCTGTTGAGCACTGAAAATGGTGCTGGTGTGACTGAGGAACTGAAGTTTTAATTTTAAACGATCTAAATGTAAATAGCCATGTGTGGCTAGTGGCTACCATATTGGACAGTGTGGTTCTGTAAGTATGTGGCAACAACATGAATGAATCTCACAAGCAGAATATGTGAGGAGAAAGAAGTTAGACATGAAAGAGTACATCCTGTATGATTTCACTCCTGTGAAGTGCCAAAACAGGTAAAGCTCATCTCTACTGAGAATTCAGAAGAAAGCTGCCCTTCGCGGGAGAGAGTGACTGGGGAGGGGGCACCAGGGGGCTCCTGGGGTGCTGTTTCCTAGGCTGGGTACAGGTGACCAAGATGTGTTCAAGCAGAGAAAATTCATCAAGTGGTATACTTGTGACCTGTACATTTTTCTCTGTGTATGTTATACATCAATAAAAAGTTCAAAAGAAATTAACCTGTTGGAGCTGGAAGGGGGTGGGGTCGGGGGAGAAGGAGGGCATATCTACCCACAAGGGCCATTCAGAGACCAAAGGCAGTGCTACGTGTTGTGTTACCAACATCCGTAGTGAAGGGAGTTTGCTGCTTTCCAAAGAAAATTCAAAATTCACCATTCTCGTTTGGCCAGGACCCCACCCAGCGCACCTTCTGCTCCTTCAGCTGCTGCTCCAGCTTCTGAAGCTCCTCCTTGCTCTTCTGCACGTACTGCTGCAGGGCCTTGATTTCCGTCTGCCTGGTGTCCATGTCTGTCTGAATCTGCTTGAGCTCCTTCTCTAGTTTTTCCTTCTTCCGAGTCTCCCGCGAAGCTTCATTCTGACGTTGCTGGATTTCCTGTTGGAACTATAGGCACAGAAAGGGCAGGGTGGAAAGAGATGGGTCTCAGATGGCCAAGCGCCTCACTCTCTCAGATAGTTCATTTTCAGGGTAGTCACGTGGTATTAGTATTTCTCCTCAAAGAGAGTCATCTTTGAACCCTAATATTCAAACTTTTCACGAATATTCTGTATTGTTTTTCAGAGCTGTGGCACTGAATGCCCACCCTGATGGCGGGAACAAATCCACAAAGGAAGGAATAAAATCCAGTTCAATATGGAAGCCCAGAATTCCAGAGAAGTCAAACATGGAAAGAACTCATCCAACTCTCCAGCGACAGAAACTAAATAAAATGTAGCCAGCTACCCTAAATATGAAATTGTGTTTTTCATGAGTACTGGAGATTGCTAAACAAAGGAAACGTCCTTCTCTCATCTCATTCTCAAAGGAGCCTCACATTTTTCTCCTGAGCCTGCATTTGCATACTATCTACTTGACTTCTGCTTTTATAGAAAAGTGTTCAGACAGATTCAGTTAGAGAGCTTCATAACGAGGGAGAAAGGCCAGGGGAACGGCTTCCACCAGCCCCAGGTGCGGGGCATCCTGGCTTTCACAGGGGACACCTGCTTGGGCCAGAAATGTAAGCAGCACCCTGCCTTGGTGACGTCTCAGACAGAGAACTTCAAGAAGAACGACTCAAGTAAAACTGCCTTCGCAAGAACAAACCAGAAAAACAAACAGAACAACGGATGTTTCGTTTGGATGCCAGGAGGTAAACTGAGACAGGAACAAGACGGAAAGGGAGCCTGGGAAAGGACAAAACCTCCTTCTGGAAGGGAATGTTCCTTCATCTTGCTCTCCACGGCAGAGCAGACCTGACTGATGGTCTGCTGGGCCTCTTCCCGGCTCTGTTCCGTCTCCTGCTGCTGCTCAGTGATCTGAGCTAAGGTCTCTCGTAATTTCACCACTTCAGACAAGAGCTGGTCTCTCTCCTTGGTCACTTCTTCTTTGAACTTCAGCAAATCTCGGATGCTGGGAAAAAAAAAAGAACATGGGAGTCAGACAATGGTCATCTGCTGAGGGAACATTATCATCCTCTGAACTTGTTTTCAAGGGAAAGACTTCCAGTCAAGGATTAACACTATTCAGGTGTGAAAGAGAAAGATCTCTGTGCCCTGCCAGGGGAGCTGTTTGTGAGTTGTTAACTAGGGGGGGGGGAAAGGCATTCCAATAATAATGTGCATAATGTGATCCCTTTTTTTCCTATTTTTAATCAACTATAACCCATGGGTGTGCGTGTATGTTATAGGCATTTATATAGAAGTCCAGAAAAATAGGCACCAAATTGATAACAGGTTATCTAAGAGGACTGGAATTAGTGGGGAAGAGTTGGGGGGCTGATTTTCGCTCCTTATGCGCCACATCCCTGTAGTATTTGAATTTGTTACAATGAAACTATAGTGTTACTGTCAGCTCTTGTAATTAACCCTAAGGAGATGTCAATTTAGGAAATTATTTGTTTAATACATCCACTGGAGAGCTCTAATCACAGCTATAAAGTCTAAAATGCAGCATAAACATAAGTAAACAATATACGTTGCCAGTTTTCTATCCATTCACCCACAGAGATTAGTTTCTCCGAAAGGGATGAACCAGATGAAATATTCCCAAGAACAAAATTTGGAAAATCATTCGTGATGCCAGTTCTCGGAGGATATGTGATAATACTCGTTGATTTGAACTGTAAACCAGTTACCTCAGCATTTCAGAAACCATTATGTATGATTTGGCATGACATTCTGCAGAAACGGCATTTTAAAAGTAGAAAAACTGTCTGCCACGACCCGTGCAGCAGAATCTGTCTAGAGCAAGGCAGCTACTTTAGAGCTGAGAAACCAGAGAACTTGCATTTGAGACACCTGCAGCTGACAGCCATCAAACGGCTGTTGAAAACACAGTAATCTGATACTTACTGACCAACAACTTTGATGTAACTGTTCAATAAAGAACCTTCAAAACTGCATTCAATCTCTTCAGAAACGAGCCCTTGAATTCTACAGTTACTGTGAAGACAGACAGCTACACCTAAGTGCACTGTTGAAGACAAAACTCTTGGCTGGATCATTTCTTCAGTCCTCCTCCTCATTATGTTCCAATTTTTCTTAAAAGTCCTTCTAACCAAATCAGTTCCCTCACATTTTTATTCAATAGTTGCTTGACTTCTTTAATAAGAAAATAGAGTGTATTACTATGGACACCACATCTTCTGTTTGTTTTTCCTATTCCCACTCCCAAAACTTTCACTCAAAACCATCTATCAACCTAGAATAAATGCATCTAGAAAGCATATAAAACCTAGATAGCAGAAAGATTTAGTTAAGGATGTGTAAGGAAGCTCATTCCTGATTCATTCATTCATTCAAGGTTTTACATGCCCTGCACAGTGCTAGACCTCTACAGGGAAGGTAAAGACAGATGTCTTCCTACAAGGAGTTCACAGCCTAATGGGCAGAGAAGCACAAATAATTTTGATACAATGTGATCAGTGCCATACTTGGGAGAGATTGGGTCTTATGGAAACAGGGAAACATAATGACTTTTTTGCTTGGTCATTGGGTCCACTTTTGGGGAGGAGGTTGGAAGAGAAATTGTTGATGGTAATGAAGATAAGATGGTGTTAAAGTTAAGATGTGTTCAGGATGACTCTTGAAGGATGTAGTTGTTTACTGAGTGGGGAAGGGAAGAAAAAGGACCCCTGGCACAGAAAACAGCACGTTGAAAGGCACAGAGGTATGAGTTAGCATGGTGTGGCTGGACGTGAGTCTAGCAAGTGACTGGGGCAGATCCATGCAGGGCTCTTGCAAGGCATGTTCAAGACTTTGGGCTTTATCCTTTAGAAACAGGTTGTTGTCAAAGGTGTTTATGCTGGAGATGGGAGCATATTTTTATGTTTTAGAAGCGTAAATCTGGTATGGAAGACGGTAGAGAGGAGATGATTCCTTGAAGGAAGGGAGAACAGTTAGGGGTCTATTGCCAAATCCAGAAGAGAACCAAGGCAGAAGCCCTGGTGACAGGGAGGAGGGGAAGACAGAAGTAATGCTTAGAAGGCAGCGTCAACGAGACGAAGCTTTAAGGCATGAAGGGGTAGCAGGAGTGAAAAGCAACCCTGTTTTCTGGCCTAGAACCTGGGGAGATAGGAAGGATGGTGATGCAATTAATGATGGGGTGTGGGGAAGCAGAGCGTATGGGAGGGGCTGGGACTCTCAGCAGACAGTCAGTTCCATTCCACACAAGTTGGAGAGAAATAAGCTTTAAATCTCCACTTGTTTTAAACCAGTAGCACTGACTCTATGGAGCCAGAAGCTGGATATAAACACAAGTCAGAAGTTCTTGCGTGTGGAGAAAGGGAGTGTTAAAAAGAAAAAATAGCGACAGGCAGAAAAGTATCTCCGGGAACCAAGCAAAAGCATTCACAAAGAAGGTTCAAGACGGCACCGGCGAGCCCCAGGCTGTCTGTCAAAGGAGGAGGCCTCTGCAAAAGCAAGTGCAACACGCATCACGAAGGCTATGACCTACTTGCTATCCTGGGCCGTAGACAGTCCAGATCCTTGCTCGACTAGTTTGGTTAGGTTCACGATTTCCTCTTTCAGGGCAAGAATCGTCTCCGTTGCCTTCTGCTCTTTATCATAGGCTGTGTCCACCATCTTCCAGGCCTTTTCAACTTCCTAGATGGGCCATGAGACATCAGTGAGAAAAACCAAAGTAGGATCCAGATGCAAGATCAGCTGAATGAAGAGAATACTAAGACAACTACATTATAGAAGTCATTTATTGGGAAAGAAGATTACACGTTACACTCTGTGTATTCAGTGTATATTGACTTCCTGCGTTGTTCAACAGGAGCCAGTCAATACTGAGCAGCAGTTTTAAGGAGGGGTGCTGGCAAAGTATATTTTTTCTTGTGTAGGTGAATGTGGCTACAAGGCTCACATACTGCAAAGACTGCTACAACTAGTGGGATTATTTCTAGTAAAGATGTTAAGATAGGTTTACAAAATTTAAAATGAAAGCTTATGTGCTTTCCAAATCCAGATATTTTATAGGGAAAAAAAAAGGCTGTATCACATAAGAAATGGTCTTGGATCTAAGCTCTAAATTTGAAGCTCCTGATAGATTCTATATGAAACATATATTTTGCCCTCAGGCCCCAAGTGAGCTCCTGGAGGGCGATATGGAGTTTAGAGCCACCCACAGCAATGAGGTCTTCACTGTCACCTAATTGTACACAACAGCCTTGGTCATTTCCATTTCCAGAAACTCAAGCTCAGGCCTTCTTATCAAATGCTTACAGGAGGAAAACAACACCTATAGCAGGGAGTGGAAACTGTGACTCAGACACCACTGGTTTTCTTTCTATTTGAATGCAATGTGGAGTATTAAGAGAAATACTTAAAAGTGAATTACAGCCATTCAAGTAAATGGATGAAGGACAGCAAATGTTGCAACACCCTTGAGTTTTGCTATATCACTTAAATTTCTTGCAAAACCCCATCAGGTGGAATGCAAGTCCTTTTCTACAGGTAAGTATCTATACACTTAAGGTGAAAATATTCTACTTTTATGTTGACAAGGAATAAAATGAGTGGAAGAAAGTGTTTAATTAAATAAATTCACGCTCATTGTTACATTAGAGAGATGATTCTTGGGTAACTGCAGCACGTAATGTAGTGATTCAAAACAAAAAGTCAGTTTATGGGATATATTTTTCTGCAGCAATCACATGTACTATTTTTGACAAAGCAAATGAAGGATATTTAAATGAAAATATGATTATATGAAATTTTGTCCAAAGGAACTTCACCACGTGGACTTTCATCAATTCATGACTTCCATCTCCAGTTTTTTAATTTACAATAAGAAGTGGGGTTTTTCCCTCATCACAAAAAGAATTGAAGCCTTCTCATATTGGTATTTCAGCAAGGAGAAGAAGAAAATAATACAGAGAAAATGACACTAAAAAAGTGGTTCCTAAAAAACTAGATAAGTCACATTTTGCACTGGTCTTGGAAATATATTTGAGCTGGGTATGTTTAATTGCATGATATCAAGGGAATTGTAGAAAAACTTTATACATCATTTTTCAGTATTAGGGTTTCAATTATAAAGCAAAATTTCTTAACCTCTCATTGCCCTGCAATCTACAAGAAATGTTTGTGTTTTGCCTGCAGAATCATGCAACACACTTGAGGATGGAAAAATTCTGTATAAAACAAAGCCATGCCTCCTTGATATGCCCCCGAGACTGAAGCCCTGTTCCCACGTTACGAGGAACTAGGGCAATCAAGGCAGAGGCAAAGGGGTGATAAAAGGAAAGATCATGCAAATTACTGTCTGGAAATTCTCAAGGTAATCTCTCCTAAAACATTGGAAAAGGTAGAAATATGAAACTATCTTTAACAAGCTATCATCATGAGATACTTAATTATTTATCTTAGGTCAAACAAGACATACTCATATGCCTAATACTACACTTACTTAGGGCAGATTCTTTCCACTAACTCAGTATTTCTTAGAAACCACGCCAGTAAAGTTCTACATTATTTTCTGCATAGTGAAATTCACCCAAGCTGATTATATTCTTTGAAAATGAACATTATTCCCTAGGCTTAATGAATATATAAATCATGTAAATTTTCACTGAATAACTTTTACTACCAGCCCAGAGCTGTCAGTATAATGAAAGGCTGATGCTTTAAATATAGGATGCAATTACGGCAGCTCGCCATTGGTTCTGTTTTCTAGAAGATCACTGACCTTCTTTAGGGTTACGATGGTGGTCCGATCATCCTGAGAGAGCTTTAGGGAAGCGGCGACCTTCGCGGAATTAACCACAATCTCTGCGTTCAGTTCCCTGCACTTGGCCATCAGACGCTTTTCATTGTCATAAGACTTTTTCATGACAGCATGAAGCTTCTCATATTCAACCTTAAATTTCTCCAGACTTCGGTCTCCTGAAAGTTCCCTGAGAACATGCTGAAAATCCCTTTCAATTTCTTCATATGCAGTTTCTTCCAGCATTTGTTTTTCGCTTTTTTCCTGTACAAAATGGCAAGGATGAGAATGAACAGTGCAGTATATTCTCCACCACTATTCAGGAATGACTGTTACTATCCATGGACAAAAGACCTTTGTACAAGCAAAATAAAAGCCACTGACCAGTGGACAGTTTAAGACTCTTTGATGGGAAGACTCTGTTCATCCTCTGATGCATGTCTATATGTACACATATGCACTAGGATAATAATATTTCCTATCACATGTTGTTAAGGATGAGAAAAAATGGGGCAATTCATGTCAAACACTTAGCCAAGTGCCTGGCAAACAGTAGGTAGGTATTCAATAAACTGCGAGCAATTATGATTAGTCCAAAGCCTGATCTCTCTTCATTTCATCCTGCTTCTTACTGTTCCCAGGACTGCAAAGGGAAGCCACAGCATGTGGAGGTCATGAGGTCTCAGGAAATACTGATATAGATACCATGAAGTCACACCCACAGTGAAGCCCATCCATAATACGGAATATTCTCCAACAAGAAATTCCATCCCCTAACAAAGATTAGCCTAGTTCATCTCCACAAGAATACTGAAGTGCCCTCTGTGCACTTGCCCTGGGCCTTCTCCACATTTGCTTTCCGTGATTAGCTGGACAGAAGATTATTTAAAAATATAAGCCTGGACATATACATGTGATTCAAGCAAGTCTGACGATGATTTAGATGAGAACCCAGGACTTAGTTACGTGAGAATTCTTATTTCCCTAGTGTTATGGACTGAACTGTGTCCCCCAGAAAGGTATGTTGAAGTCCTTCAGTAACTGTGAATGTGACTTTATTTGGAAACAGAGTAACTGCAAATATCACTAATTAAGTTGAGGTCATATTGGAGTAGGATGGGTCCTAAAACTTATGTGACTGGTTCTTATGAAAAGTGGGGAAAATTTTCTAACTATGTGGGGTGATGGGTGTTAACTAAACTTGCTCTGGTAATCATTTTGAAACATATACATATGTCAAATCATTATATTGTACACCTAAAACTAATACAATGTTACATGTCAACTGTATCTCAATAAAAAAAAGGAGGTGGAATTTGGACATACAGGGACACACACAGGAGAACGGCATGTGATGGATGGAGGCAGACATGAGACTGATACAGCTGCAAACCAAGGTAAGTTAAGGATGCTGAACCAGAAGCTGAGAAGAGAAGAGGAAAGATTTTACTCAGTTTCAGAAGGAGCATAGCCCTGCTGACACCTTGATTTCAGACTTCTGGCCTCCAGAACTGTGAAACACACAGCACAATAATAATAATAAAAAAAATAGGTATGGTTAATATATTTACTCAGCAAATATTGATTGAACATCTGCTGTATGTAAGGTGGAATGATGCAGCCTGTAGGAGACATCAAGGCAAGGAATAAACTGCCCTCCCGTAGGACATGTATACATTAAGAGCTGATGGGGTGTGAATGCTGATAATGGAAGTAAAGAATTTGATACCTGTCATAAAATAGATTCAAAGTTCTGCAAGGACTTCGAGGAAGATGGAATCACTCCCAGCAGCAAGAATTAAAGCAAATTTCATAAAGGAACTGGCATTTGAGCAGGCGCAAAAGGGAGACTGGAGTTTTCAGAGGTGGATGTGGAGAGAGAGGGCATTCCCGGCCCATGGCAAGACTTGATCAAAGGCTCAAGGCCAAGCAGGTATCCAGGATTTGAGATTGGTTAAGATGCTCAAGTTAGCTGAAATACAAGAAATATGACACGAAGGAAGGAGACCAGACAGGGAGTTAGGGACAGACTTGGGGGCCTTGAACGGCATTCTAAGGAATAGGGAGCGAATTACTCTGTAGGCCATGGGGAACCACTTCTACTTTTGAGCAAAAAACTGGTAAGGTTTGAAAGGTCTTATTTATGTTGGCAACATTATGCTTTGATATTCTATACTATAAAGGGCTTTAACATCATAACTCTATTACTAATCAAAGAAATTAACTGAGCTTTAATCCCAATAATAAAGCAAAATTCAAATTCACTCCGAAGATTTTGGCAAGCAATTTAGTTTACCTTCTGCTTTGACAAGCTTGTCTTGCCCAACATGGAGAAAGTCTACACATTTTTGGTTTTCAAAAACACTTGCACTATTGATTGCACATCTAAAGTTGACATATCAACAAAACAAGAGTCCACATCTTAAAATCGACGTGGAGTCACAAGCATATCCCTACAGCATTTTGCATAACAACAAAGGACTAACGTTAAACTCAACAGAGGTCTTCTTCCTGACTAAAAAGCAGATTATTGCAAAGATCTCAATACAGCGATTTCACAGAGGAAAAATCATATTAAGGAATAGTGCTGCTACTGCTCTGTGCTTTCCCCTCGTTGATGCTAAACTTGAACACACACAAACATTTATCATGGCAATGTCCTCGGTTACATCCCTGTAAAGGGTATTAATGTCAACACTTGATCACTAGCCTAATGATTTGTTTGCAGAAAAGGTTTTCCCTGTACACCAGGCACTGAGCACAGAAATGGAACAATATCAAAGGAGAAAAAGTTTTAAAGAAACTATTTTGAACAAAAGAGATTTGTTCATATTGTCATTAAATATATATATCACAATTAAAAGCAATGCCAGAATAATCTCTTAGCTCTTACCAGTGACCAGCTGGTATCCACAGTTATAGCATATAACAGTATCTATTTCCGAAGCATGATTTCAACATGAACTGATCAGAAATGAATTCTGGTGTTCCTTCATTCAGCACCTATCTACTGAGTGTTTACTATCTGCCAGGCTCTCTTCTAGGTGCTGGGAGTACTAATTAGCAGAGAAAAGGAAAGAGAGCTATACTGAAAAATGAGGTGAGCGTGGAAATGAAGACTTATGAAAGCAGGGGTGAGGAAAACTGGGCTAAGGTCTATTGAGAAGAAAAACAGGAGAAAGGAAGAAGTGACAGGAAATGATGAAAGGGAAGAGAGACTGGGAAATAATTAATTTATAGTATTGGTAACTGGGGCTTACGTGGGGAAAATGAAGAATGAAATAAACCAAGATGACTAGTGGGGGAGAAAAAGAGGAAATACTCAAAAGGAAATAACAGGAAAAAAAAGAGGAGGAAATGGGAAGAAAAGAGCTATGAATGAGTGTGGGTACCAGCTGGATGGATGTAAGAGAGAGCTGAGAGTGAGGGAGCCCAGAGACTGAGGAAGCTGGAGCGTCTGAAAGGGACTGTATGATAAGGAAAAGAGGGAGCTGTTGACCACAGAAGATGGAGTTTGCAAAGGGAGACTAGATGTGGAGGAGATGGAATGATGTAAATGGTGTAAAGGAGATAAGAGGAGGAACTGGAATAGGGGAGGGAGCACGATGGCGGTGATGATGGGAAGCTCGGACCAGGGCTGGCTTCGTGGGCATGTGAAGTATACAGTTGCACAGGGCTCCTTGCTCAGATGTGCCCCACCCTTGGTTTAATGCTCTGCTGAAATTCTTAGTATTTTTTTAACAAAAGGCTAACGCATTTTCATCCTTCATTGAGCCCCACAGACTATGAGGCTGATCCTGGCTGGGACTGACCAGGTGATGGGTGAGATGGGGAAGGGTTTGATGGGGTGATTAAAGATTTGGGTTGGGGCCATAGTGGATGAGGACTGTGACTCATAAGTGACGACAGGGACCTGAGGGTTGTCCAGGTTATAAATGAGGGTGCTAACAGACAGGCAAAGGTCATTAAAAGACTGCAGAAATAACCCCTCATCAGTGAGGCTGAAAATGGGGTGTGCTACAAAGTGGGGGTGTGAATGGAGAGCTAAAGATACTAACACAGTGGTCAGAGACAACACAGGGCAGTGATGATGGGCTGAGGAGCTTAATGAAGATGTGTAATAGCAGGTGATCAGACGAATCAAGCTGTGACAGGTGGACAAGAGTCAGTGCACAGGGGTGACCCTGGGTATTTATGACGCTTTCTCCCAGTCAGCCAGACATCAATATTTCCGTGTGTATCTCTCCTGCGGCATCACCTTATGGGTCAGAATTTAGGGGTGGGGGCCTGTCTGTCATCTGTGAGTCTGGGAACTTAAGAATTTCCTACCATTCTGAGCACAGCGCCAGTTTAATAGGGTGAGGTAGGGGGTGTCCACCAATGGAAGGAGAAGCAGGAGACAACGGGGCCAGAACCAACAGGGACGGGGGTGGAGGCGGTGAGGCTGCAGGTGGGGCAGGATGTTGACCGGGGGAATATTCGGAATCAGTGGATGTGACAGGGGATAAGTCTACAGCAGAAAAGGGACGGCGGGGAGGGATAGAGCGAGAGGCGACAGAGAGAGGGGCGCTGGCTTCTGACCTCGGCCATCCTGACGCGCTCCCGGAGAGGCCTCAGAGGCTGCTGTGGAGCCCCCGGGAACTGGGCCGGAGTCTGAGGAAGGGGCTGTGCACCGCCCCCAGCGTCTAAAACGGCGCCACGTTATTTCTGTCCCGCGTAGGGGGCGGAAACCCGGCGCTCGGCGCGACCTCGGGTCTCCTAGCAACCGCCACGCCCTTCGGGGGGTGCAGCGAAGTTCGAAAGGGGTGGAGCCTCTGAGGCCCGCACTTGGGCGGCGTTCCTCAGAGTCGTACGCAAATATCCTGGATGGGCGGGACCAGGAAGATGAGGGGCGGTGCCTCTGAGCGGCTGGGAGGAGTCCCAAGGTGTGCGCCAGAAGTCCCCAGGATGCGCCGAAGTTAGAAACACCCAGGAGAAGGGACCCTCTCAGCGAGACCCGGGAGCCGGCAGTGGAGAGCCGAGGACGACCCTCTGTGGATCAGTCAGTTCTGGATGAGGGAAGGACCGGCAGCCTCCGTCTGCCCTCTGTCATAAAGGGACTTGGCCACAGGAACAGGAAATAATCTCAACTGGAGTCGATTCCAACCCTTAGGAGGCAGCTACTGTGTGCAGGACACAAGGGTAAAACTAAAAGAAAACACAGACCCTGCCCCTAAAGGGTTCAGTCACTAGTGGTGAGGAAAACAGGGTGCAGAGGTCAACGCACCTGGAAGACCGTACGTGGAGCCACATCATGAAAATCTGCCTGGATTCTGGGGCTCCTCTCTAAAGACCCTTTCTTCTCTCTCTCCCTTTCTCTTTCTCCCTCCCCTTCCTCCTCCACCCTCTTAGACTTCAGGTGCAGAGCTGAAATAATTAAACTCTTTGGTTCATGAAATATGCAAGACTCCTCTCTTGTTTTATTTTTCCCCGTTTATCCCCATCCTTAATCCCGCGCCTCATCCTCACCCCCCCATAGGAATTCATGCTACTGTACTTGGATATGTATTTTCAAAAAATGTATAGCATTTTCACTGGCACACTATCTTCTAGTGTTTTCACTCAACATTCTTTTTAAGGCTCTATCTCTGTTGCACTTGGTGTTATAATCCCAGTTCACAGCTTCTGACTGCTGCGTAGTCTTCCAGGTTGGACATCCACACGTTTTACTTCCATCCCCCAAGTGCTGAATACGAAGG